AGGAAAGGTGTGCAAAACACAAATGGTACTTACGGATTCATCAAATACTGGGTAGTGGTACGTGATTAGACTCATAAATACAACTTCAGTCTTCTACATGCTGTAGTAGTCTTTCCTCAGAAGCTTAGAACTGAAAACCAGTAATAATACATGATCAGTGTGGTGGTGGCCATCCTAATTCGCTATCAGGCTCTGTTTCTTACTTTGTTGGCACCATGAAAAGGAAAATTGAATATCCTGAGAGTGGAGAAAAGACTATAAATCAGTAGTTAGATAAAACTGTCATCATAGGAGTCCTGCTTTGACAGATCCAGTGGGCTCTGCTAAAGAAGGGCTTTCCACAGACAGATGGGAAGAGGGAAGCAAGGGGCATAGTTTTTTAATTAAAGTGAACTTTTTCAGCTCTTCAATATATGTAAGATTCTCTACTTCTTAGTGCTGTGCGGCCATCTGCTCCCTGTACACACATCAATGCTTCCTTGAGTTGCTTTTCCTTCTGTGCTGTTAGCTGAATTTTCCATTCCTTCTCGTAGTCTTCTGTTCTTTTACCCCATTTGCTAGAATGTGTGTTCCAGACCAAATTAGTTTTCATTGCAACCTCTTTTTCTCTTCCCCTGCCTGTACAGACTATTCACCATGTAGCTTTGAGTATCACTGTCCCCTTGTTACCCACTAGATAGGCAGTTCAGCAATGTTTCACTGATCAAATGCTTTCTCTGGAGGTCTGATTTCTGTTAAACATTGACACTGAAAGCATTGCAGTTTTCTAGGTAAAATCACTGTAGGACCTCAGGAGCAGAGTAATCTTCAAGGATTTCCTAATTCCCACCCCACACACCCACCCCTTGTTTTTTTTCCCCGTGCAATACGTGCAGACATGAAATTGAGCAAATTTAATCTAGTTTTGTGCCATCTGCTTATTCAGTATAATTCTAAAGTTTAAACTTGATCCCAGATGTATCCATCCAATGTTCTTAACTGATAATATGTAAACCTAAGTGGGCTTTTTTTTAATCTTTGGTGGTGGTGGTGGGGCACTGTTGGGTAAGTGCCATGAATTGAAGCAGCAGATGCTTGTGCTTCCTCAAGCTCTGTGTTGTGATAGCAAGTACCACTCTCTCCCTGCTTCTAAACTTACTGGAAACTTTGAGAAAATTCTAGCCAAGAAGAAAGGCTGTTATTCTTATGTTATTACTTCACTGCATTTCATGTTAGTCTTACTGCATATTACCCTTTATTTGGTGTATAGCATTAGCAGCTTTTCTAAAATTCAGAACATTAGAAGAGATCCTGAGTTAGGTACCATTCACTGCTGTTGCATATACATCAGGTTTCAGATCCTGGTGAAATTGTTATGTGAAAGGATTGAGGGTTGGATTGTGTGGTTCAGTTTTGTTTTTAATTTCATGGGGTGTATGGGGGGGGGATGTTTCTTGTGCCACCGTTGTTTTTATTACAAGATTATTTCAGAATCTCAGTGTTTTGATGGCTGTGGAAATTGGAGGCATATTTGTTACCAGCCTAGTCCATTTGGGTTAAAGTCAGTTTTGCTTTTTCATTTAAATAGCTTTTGTCCTTTGTTTGGTTAGCCTGATGACATTAGACCAGAGATCAATCATTTTCCTTCTCAGCTAAGCTCTTCATTAGCTCTTAGCAACTAACGAGTGCCCTTTTTATCTTGCTCACTGTGCGTGTTCCAGCTCCAAATTTCTGGAATGTTGAAGTGGAAAATAAAACTTCAAAGGAAGGTTTTATATTTATATGTGCATTGTATGGTTTTGTCACACCTAGCCATGTTGGGAGTTTATTGTGCTGTTCACTGTATTTTAGGGGGGGAAAATAAGGTCAATTTTGTCATACACAAATATATGTGATACTATGCATTCCCCATAAGAAAGAATGGAATTATAAAGAAAACCATTCTCCAGCATTTGGGAGAATGTTGTGGTGATAAGCTGAATGAAATAGGTGATTTAGGCATACAGTGGAATTCTGTAAACATTGAAAATATTGGAGGATATGAGAGTACATGAAGGGGAGGTACCACTCCGTGTTTGCCTAGTTCTCATCCCTAAGTCCCTAAATATTTGTTTTCCTGTCAGAGACAAGTGTTAAGCTAAGATCGTGCTTTTGTTTTTATCCAGTACTCCTGCTTTTATGTTATTTTAGCTAAGGGGGCTTCTTACAGAGTCCTCTGTGTCTGGTGTATCCATTTATATAAAGTCTTCCATTAGTGTAAATTTGATGCTACTTCTCTGCAATTTGTTGCTTTTTCTTCTCTCTTTTTTTTTTTTTTTTTTTTTTTTTTTTTTAGTAAGGCATTACTGCAGGGATTGATTAAAAACAGAGGTGTGTAGGTAGTTACAAATTTGCATTTTGGTTGAATTTCATTTGATACACACACATCTCAGGAGTCTGCAGTCTTGCTACCAGCTGTTGGCTGTTGATGGTCCCCTCTTACAGAGCATGTAAGAGGGAGCAGCTGTGGACAATCTTCTGACTGTTATCTTGCAACTACTTTTCTACGTTTCGTAAACTACCAGATGGCGTTAGTTTAATAAGAGATTGAAGGTGCTGAAGACAGTTGATCTTCAACTCTTCTGAATTACAGAGATAGAAATATAACCTCTCCTAGACAGATTAGCAGAGCTCAAAACCCCAAAATCCCAAGTGTTTTGCATCCCCAAACCCAGTGTTTGAGATTTCTATCCATCCTGTTCCTCCCAGAGCCTTCTGTGAGAGGAATATAACTCAAATTTTTAGCTTGCTGTACACCAGAGGATCTCACCAGATTCCATCTGCACAGAGTGTTTAAGCTTTTCCTAAGTATGACATCTCTTGGCACCCCTTCTTTTTGAACATAGAGCCTTCTCAACCCCAGCCCATTAGTTTCCTTTTTTGCTTTACTGGTATGGCAGCAGCCTCTATGTAGAAGTTATTCTCCTTCATACTCCTACAGATGTCCCTGTCACTCATTCAGTACTTGCTTTCCAGGAGTTGTGAAAAAGTAAATTACTCCAGGAGACTGCAAGACCAGCAACCCAAAGATGATGTATAGGATAGAGTTAAGTGAGAGTAAGGAATGACCTCCCCTGTTAACTCTCTTATGTACTGCATGCAACATAGGAGGGAATTGATTCAGTTGACGCATGATACTTTCTTAAGAGAAATTTGTAGTCTTTTCCAGTATCTGTTGCAAAGAACTGCAAATATTTTCAGTACTGAACAGGCTGTAGCACAAGAAAAAGCTTGGATTATCTGGTCTTTTCAATACTTAACTTTCCTTTCACACGGGGTGGGGGGGGGATCTCTCATGTCAGAAATCTCAACTACTATTCCTATAGTATGTTCGAATTTGAGAGCTTTAATCTTCCAAAACACCTAAGAAACAGGTGGAGGCTTAGAAGAGAATTTCTCAGGTATAATGAGTAAAATGAAGTAAAAAAAAAAAGCAGTAGCGCAGCAGGAGTATACTTCTCTCTTTGCATCCCGGTCCTTTCCCTAAAGGATATTGTTTTCTAAAAGCTGTCATTTTTCACATTCCTCTTAGGTTACCGTGCTGTCATCTTAAATTCTTTTGCTATTAGTGCTAGCACTGGTACTCGTGGAGATAGCTTTTCTTTCTCTTGTCAAACAACCTCATCAGTCTGATTCTGTGCCGGTAGATTATTTGATCTGGACTTTATTTGTTAAAAGGCACTCAGTGCTGTTTTTAAAACTAAGATACTGTCTTAAAAACTAGCAGCTTTTGGTTTTAAAGGACAAAACTCAAGGTTATTTAAGAGACTGTTCATATTGCCGTGTTCTGGACAGGGTTAATAATAGTTGCTATTCCTTGAGCATCAGATTTATTAGTAACCTTTTTTTTTTTTTTTTTTTACTTTGGTTAGTATGTGCTCACTGTCTGAGTTTGTGGGGAGAAAGTGCTACAGAATGTAATATGATAAATAATTTGTAGTATTTAGATAAGTGTTGAAGGAACCTTTAGTGATTTTTTTTTTTCCAAGTTTTTTTGCATTTTAAAGCCCTCTCTATCAGTCTTGCATTTCCTGTGTAAATTGATGCCGACAGGGAATGAGGGTGCAGCTAGGAAGAGCAAGAGTACCCAGTTCAGCAGCTGCTTGCTGCACACACCCTGGCTCTCCTAGTGTTGACTTGTTCTAATCTGGCATCACGTGGTCTCCTGGTGAAGGTGGTGGCTGCAGAATGTTTCCTTTAACTAGGAAGGTTTTACAAGTGGATCTGTTGATCCTGAAGTCCAAAGTATTCAACTGAAGGTAAAACTAACTTGTTTTGAGTTCATATTTTATGCTGACAGCATGTAAGTACCTCACTTCAGGAAATGTTTGTCCTGAAGAAGCTATTATTATTTTACTTGCCTGTCTTTGTAGCTAAAATCAAATGCATTTAGCTTAGTTGTAATGGTACACAGTGCTGTATAAGAACACAATCCGTTTTTCCAGGATTAACATTGTACATAATTCTTGAGAGGGAGTTAGAATCGCTAATGCTGTTTAGAAGTAGATTGAAATTCATGCCAGAATTCTGGATTTTTTTTGTCCTTTCCTCAGCTCCAGTGGAAACATATTATTCAGAAGGTGTTCTGCTTATTTCCCACCTTGTAGTGCTAAATTCTTTCTCTAATTCAAGCCCGGTAATTTTAGAGTACAGACACTTTTCATTCACATTTCTTTAAAATTTGAAGTATACAGTTCTTGATTATAAGTTTATTCATTTCACATGTATGTTTAGAAGTTTTGTTTTTGTCAGGTGTTAAAGTTTAGCAGTTATTTATTACTATAAAAATGATAATTATTGGTAGAAATTGTCGTCTTAAGTAGAAAAAAGTAGTTACTGTAGTCTACAGATTAAAACCGAAAGTTTGAAGTATAGTTTGATTGTTTATTTGCTTTGTCTAATCACAATTATTTCAAATTTTATCTTAGTTAATTTAATTGAAGTTCAGGGAAAATCAATTTCAGTGCCTTCTTTTCTTCCAGAATACAGTCGTTTTGAAGCTAAAATACATGATTTACGGGAACAGATGATGAACAGTAGCATTAGTTCAGGATCAGGATCTTTGCGAACCAGCCAGAAGAGATCCCTCTATGTCAGGTAATCATCTTTTTCACAATATTGCTAGCGTGGTTTTCTGCAGACTTTGTATTTCTGTATGTGCATTTTTAGACAATGATTTATTCATTATTGAACTTAACAAATGTATATTAATATGCAAAATGTATTAAAAATAAAGCTTATTTTAGATCAATTAATATAATGGTTAAAAAAAGAAGTAATAGCCACGAGAATTCTGTATGAGTGCTGTTACTTGCTTTTTGTCTTGCCTCAGAGATTGTAATCTTCCAGCAAAAACATTCTCCAAGTCAGTGTATGTGTGAAGTCTTAATAAATTGCTTAATTCAGTTCGTGGTTTTGTGACAATAGTCTTCCTTGTTCAGTTTTTGAGTTCAGATTTGTCTTCCTTTACTTAAGCTTTGACATACTTCCATGTTATTTCCTTTAGCTTTATTTCTATTTTCAGCTTGTATTAAGAAAACTTATTTCTAGATCTGATGGCATTTTGTTATAGAATATTTTCCATGGTAGCCAAGAGAGCAAATGCATCAAATCAAATGCACTGAATACTCTTACATTATTTATTCATATAGAATTAAACATAAAGAAGGTTAAAAGGAAGTTGAAATATAAAAGAGCATGAAGCAGTTAAGAAAATAGGTGGTTTCACTGGGAAATTGTGGCAAGGTGCATCTCATTAATGTGCCAGCTAACTCCTACATCAGTTATCATACACTGATACAGCATAATATTTCAAGTAAGGAGTGTAGGGGAAAGTGGTTGCATTTTTAAGAATAATGATTGAATTCCCCAAACCAGCTCATCCCTGGGTTGAACAAGGGCCAGCAGTAGCATCTTGGCAGGATGCAGACCATTTTAGTAGAGGAGATTAAACTTCATTAGTGCTGGTTCTCAGGTTAAACTTGGTTTAAAATGTTGTAGGACCTTGCTGGCATACCTGCTGAAATCCTAGGCTCAGGTGCTATTGATTTTTCCCATCCAAAGCAGATACTATTTTGTTTATGGTGCTATATCTTTTGAGCTATGGGATGGGAAGTAACTCTTGCCTGAGTCAAACCATCTATGCTCAGGAAAGTCTCGGTCCTTTACAGCCTATTTTTGAAGGCTTTGAAACAAATGTCCTCATACAGGACTTCTGTTTAGATTGACTATAACATATAGTTCTTAAGTTTTGACCTATTATTTTAATAGCATCTGGGGAGGGTGGTGTTTGTTTGTTTGTTTTTTTTTTTCTTTTTTCATTTGGTTGGGTTTCGGGTTTTTTTTGTACTTAAATATTTTTTGGGGTCAAAATTTAAAACTCGAAGGATAAATGCCTTAAGTACTAAGCATAAGTGCTTCATATCAGAGTTAACCATGTCTTAGAATTTCTACAGGTAGATGTACAAATGGATATTGTGATGAGATCTTCCTCCTTTCCATAATCCCAAGATTTATTGCTTTAGCCCTCATCATATAACTAAGCCTAAACAATTCTAAATGCTTTTCTTTTGCTTGGTTACCTATAGCCTGATTAGGTTCTAAACCACTTATGCTCATGTTTACACGTTGGTCTGGTATTTTAAGCCACTGGCAAGCATTTTGTGTTTATGTAGCTATTATTCCACTGGTGGAAGTTGTTGAGCTTTTCACTTTGCCAGCTGCTGCAGAAAATGCAGCCTTCCCAAGGTTGTTGGCAGAAAGGCTTTTAAGACTGGGTAATCAGCCTTATTAAAAGTCAGAACAAAAATCTAAAATGCAAAAATTCCTCAGGAAAAGTACTTTTCCACCCACATCTCCAAACGGAGGGTGCTGCTAGGGCTTTTGAGATCTACTCTTGTCATCACACCAAAAGATGCCAAAGATTGGTAGGCAAGTTGGTATGCACAAGATGGGTTCACATCTGTTCTGTCTGGTTTCTGATGTAATTTTGACCTCACTGAAGTAAGTTTTATGAATCTTTTCACATATTGCTAGATACTGACAGAACATGTTAGTTATCCAGCCTCTTCCTTCTTATATAAGTCACTCTGGTATGAGCATTCTGTACTCTTAATTGTACCAATTCAAAGCATATTTTAGTAACTGAAGTTATCTTTTTTTCTGTAATACTTGGTTTTAGATTTTCCTTAAAGGATTCCAGTTATATAATGTAATGCTGAACTGAATGGTAAATCCAACAGTAAAATGTTTGTAGGCATTCAACCACAATTGCAGAAAACCTATCAAATAAAACCACTCTAAAAATAATAGTCTCTGGTGATTCCTCAAAATTGTGGTAACAAAACAGCAAGTAATATCAGATACATCTTTGTGTCCCTGTAACTAAAACTTGATATCTTTATGAATAATGTTTTGGGGGTGTTATATAATATTAAACAAAAGGTTATTGTGTTTGCCTGAAAAATACAATTTGAAGTAAAAATACAATTTGAAGTAAAAAATCTTTTGAAGAAGATTTTTGTTCTAAATTATATGTATATCAGTATATGGTGAGTAGCAATTTAACAAACACTCCTTGGAGGGAAATACAAATACAGCAATTCAGCAGCAGCAAACTCTTCATTTGTGCATGTAATACTTACCCCTCTTTTCGCTCTTCCCCCCTGACTAATTAAGAGGTACTGATTTAATGGCCTTCCCTTGTTTTTGCTTCATATTTCTTTTGATCTTTATGAGGAGAAAGATTCTCATACAATATATCGATTGCATCTGAATTACATCTATACGCTGTTCTCCTTCACCTGCAGATTCAAAAAGTGAACGTGAGAAGATGAGATACCTCAATGGTATCAAGCTTCTATGAAAATATGTTGATAGGGAGTAAACTTGTTCCATATTTCATCTCATCTTGCATGCCAAATCTCAGTCTGTGCAATGTGCATAGAATTCAAAATTGAAAATTACTTTTCCCTTTGTGCATTTTTCTGGCATGATACAGTTTAAATTCAAACAATGGTGCTGATTTCTGCTTGAGTCAGAGCAGAAAATGGTTATGTGTCAAAGTGGAATAAGCTTTACAGTTTTAAAATTATTATGAAATCCTAACTAAATCAATTGAAAAAATTAAGATCTGGCATTAACACTAGGCCTGAAAAGTGTACTTGCCTGCAGGAGGAGCTTAGTTGGGCATTCCT